AAATTTTTACCTTTTATAGTAATTTAAAATTTATTCTTTTTCATTGAGTCAATGTACATCTATTTACTACTTTTATGAGTACTTATTTTTCGATAAATGTTGTCAAAATTTTTTTTGAGAAATGGCAAAATGCCATCTTGATTTTACAATCATCCAACCAAATTTTTGCAAAAATTCCCAAACTAAGAAAAATAGTAAAAACCTACTATTATAGCAATACTAATTTTGTAGAGCTGCTCTATATAGAATTCTATCTGTCATCTTTCTGTGATATCTCCTAATTTTAGTCACACTTTCCATTCATTAACCCAGAGAATCCTTATCAATTTTGGAAACACAGTTACACAAAAAGATCCCCCTCCTTTCTCTCTATATACTCCAAAACCTCCATTGCCATCCTCTTCAAAGGAGAGAAAACACACACACACAAAAATGGGTAGAGGCAAAATTGAGATCAAGAGGATAGACAACTTGAACAGCCGCCAAGTCACGTTTTCAAAGAGGCGAAATGGGTTGCTGAAGAAGGCGAGGGAGTTGTCGATTTTGTGCGATGCAGAGGTCGCCGTCATCATCTTCTCCAGTACCGGGAAAGTTTATCAATGGTCCAACACCAGGTACGTGTGCGGTTCTGGTCCTTTGGAGAAAGATTTTAGCTTTCTTGATTTTTTGTTGTTTTTCTTCTGTTTTCGTGGGATTTTCAAATACCCAGATGATAAATTTGATGATTATGATCTTCGGGAGATTAAACTTGCGGGTCAAGTCAAGTGGGTATGGCAAATTTTCTCGGGAAACAAGCAGAAAGGGGAGGAAAATGAGATGGCCTTTGTTAACAAGCTGTTAGAATCGTAGGATATCTTAAAATAGGAGAGACTAATAAGAAGGAAAAGAAATTGGTAGTATTATTTCTTCCTATTTTTAGCACGAGAGATGTGAGATAACTGCAAGAAAGAACAAATTTTCTCTGTACCAAAAAAAAAAAATTAAATAAATAAAAGAAACAAATTTTCTGTAGTAGGGCCAGTAGGTTAAGCTACTTTGACCTATTCCCACGTGGGCTCAAACACATTTGACTTTCATTGACTTGGGCCCTTAAATTTTTCATATTTTCTTATTTGTTTTCAATTTAAAAAATTTGGTCCTTGGATGTAACATATAATTTTATGATTAGACTAGAATTTAACAGATTTTCTTATGTTCATGCAGCATGGAACATACCCTTTTAAGATACAACAAAGGCACAGAATTAAGTTGTCAAGAACATGGTCCTAATGAGCAAGAGGCAGAGGTATGGGCCATATGAGCAAATAACTACATATTTGTTGGATGTATTTGATTTGTGCATTATTTCAGTCAATTCTCATGCTTCATTACCTTTTATGTGTTACCATTAAGCTGCTAAATTCTGGGATACATTCATGAAATTTTCAAGAAATGGCCTGATTTTTGAGCATGAAGTTCTTTGTTAACTCATGTTCCTTTGTATATGCAATTTAAGCTTCTAATTATTTTGTACTATTTAAACAGAAGTTGCAACAACCTGATCTGAATGACATGAAAACTGAATTTGCAAGGCTGCGCAGAGCATACCTGTAAGTCATTTTTAATGTTGTTTTTGATTGACTATTTTGATCATGTTGCTTTGAATGTGACTAAGGAAATTTGGGATCTTTAGTGGCGAACTGTTTTCATTATAATGATATTGTCTCTATTCTGTACCATTTAATCTTTTTGTCTAATTCAATTCCATCTCCACTGAAAATAAACTTAGAGCATCTTCAATCATTTATGAGTTAGAATGGCAATTCCAATTTGCAGACAATTGAATGGCAAGGAGCTGGATAATCTGAGCTATAAAGAACTTCAACAACTGGAGAATCAGTTAAATGAAGGGATAATATCAGTTAAGGGGAAAAAGGTACAGGGCAAAAATCTACATATGATCATGCACTTTCTTCTTCCTTTAAAATTATGGTTTTTAGTTAATTGCAGTATGTCTACTAGGCCCAATTTTCTACAGTGAATAATTCAGCTAATATTGAAAGAGTTGTATTCCAATTGTATAGTATCTTCTGTCAAATTTTTCACCCAAACAGTGGTTGGAGGGCTTTGATACTCATGTCAAAGTCTAAATTTCTTGACCTAATGGAGATTGACAGAATTAGAACCTTAGAAAGCTGTGATTTCATGGCCTTTGAACTCAATTTGCTTTATTCTTGCAGGAGCAAGTTCTACTTGAGCAGCTTAAAAGATCAAGATTACAGGTAAATCTAGTGTTTTGTTAGCATCATATGACGTATGTGTTATAGTTTGACCTTGATTTCTTCTTAGACTTCAAATCCTAAGGGTATACATGATTCCTAGAGTACTACTATAATGTATTACAGAATCCTTATTTTAGTCCAGACTGGCTTTAGCTAGTTCAGCTAGGACATGAAATGCATTGCAAGAGAAAGAGAGAAAAGTGGAGGCAAACTTGACATTTCATGCCTGGACAGGTGGTTTTGCAGCCAGTCCAGATTGAAAAAAGGGTGTTTCTCAAGTTATTAAGGATGCTTTTTATAAAAGTTTTCAAGTGACATTTTGATTTGTTGAAGAGTCTCTCCTTTAATTAATTGCTTTTAGGATTTGAAATGTGTCTTGAGCACTTAATTACATGACAAAAGCTTTTCATCTTTTCCTTGATTTGTTCCTCCTAAGAATAGCATAGGCTCCATAATGCCGGCCAGGAGAAAAAGTTCAATGGAACTTTATATAACCATGCTTGGAGAGGATCTTTTTCTTTGGCAATTAAATTAACTTTAATCTCCTTTTGGCCTAATCTTTTCAGGAGCAGAAGGCCATGCTAGAGAAGGAGACTCTCCAGAAACAGGTACATCATGGCATCCATATTTGGAATTTAGTGGATCAGCTCTTGCATTCTAGGAAAAAAAGATTAACTACTCAAATTTGAAATATCAATTAATTTACTTGATTCTTTATTCCTTAACACTAAATTCATGTAGGTTGAGGAGCTCCAACAACGAAAATCAAGCTCATCTTTCCTCGAATTCAATCCTCTGGACAGAAGATTTTCCCTCACAACTTCAAAGGTTGAACAAGATTGTGCATCAGAGAATGACAACAACAACAACAACAACAACAATGACCATTCAGACACTTCCTTACACTTGGGGTACTTAACATATTTACATTCCAAATTCTTTGTCCTTGACATATTTGCATTCCAAATTCTTTTTGTCCTTAATGTCTCTGGAAGGTCTATTCTTAGTAAGTTATCTGCAAAAGAAAGAAAAAGGATATACTGCTAATTAAAAACTGTTTGATCAAGTCTCTTGATATTTCTTAATACTATTATCAAAAGGTGTTATTTTATCAATAAGGTCATCTAATCTTGTGAGGCACCAAAAACAGTTCTGGCGAAAAGTAGGATTCATGCTTAGTTGGACCACTGAAGTAGCATTTGGATATATAATACTTGTTGGCCCAGCTTATGAAAATAACTTTTTGCAGCAAAAGTTGAAATTTAGCCAAGCACAGTTTTCTAAAGATGTCTTCTAATTTTTGAAGGGCTAGAAGCTGAGGCTCTAAACTCATTACTTTTGGGGTAGATTTTTTGTTGTTAAACATCTGAAGTTGATAATTTTTATCAATTTTTTTTGAAATTTTTTATGATCATTCTATTTGAATTCATGATTCATTAGCACTTCTTCAAAAGATCATACAACTAGGCCAAACAGGCATTTCAAATTCAATTTACATCTTTCTCTTTAAAAGAGGAACCACTTTGGTTATCAGTTATCATTCACCAAACAATTCTTTTTCATATTTCTCAGGCTGTCATCGGATGCTAGCCGAAAGAGGAAAGCAGCAGCAAAGATTGAATCCATCTGCAATGATTCAGAGAGTCAAGTGGCCTCAGGGTAAATTTGTGCTAATTTGCAGTTATCTATATTATTATCCTAGGGATAATATTAAACAACTTTTATTATTAGTTTTAATATTAGTCTTCAAGAAGTTAAATGTTTAGTTATATATCTCCATTAGAAAAACAGATGTAAATATTTGTTCTGATCTTGATGTTACTACCTCCAGCTGGAAATTGTTAAGCCAATCAGCAGAGTCTACAAACTGCTTTTCTTAAGTAGATTTAGGTGGTGTCTTTTTTATTTCATTTGATTAATATATGTTTATTTTCTCAAAAATATTGTTATTTATGTTGTAAACGAAGTTATTTTTGTTTAATTCTTTTTTTTTTTAATTATTTAATTTTTCATTCTTATGTGCTTCTATATATATAAAAGCATTACTTAAATTCTATCAAAAAATTAATATGACACTTCACGATTGTAAGGCTATAATATGATTTTCGATTTTAAATTGGAGGAGTAGATATTAGAGACAAGGGATATGAATATGATTGCCCTGATTAAAATGGTTTTGCATTTGGAAGATTGGTTTTGAGTAAATCTAACTTTTATCAATTAACCATTATTCAATCCTTGGGAGGTCCACTAGGAATTAATTCATCTTAAAGGTTCTAGTCTCGGTGTGGATCACATGAAGGTATTGGAGAATTAATTTAACTAATTTTAATTAAAAAGTATGATAAAAAGATCCAAAGCCATGATTTCTTTGCACCAAAGCGTTTTTTTATTTTATATTTTTTTAATTATGACAAGGGAGTTCTTGAATTAATTTTTACATATCTTAAAATTAATTTTTTTAAGTAATTTTAAAAATGTATTCTTTACATTATTTTAATAAACTCAAACAAATTATTATTTTTTAAGTATTAATTTTAAGATTTAAACATTCAACTTAACCTATAAAACGATATTTACTTTATCGGTGGATCTAAGCATTGGTCGGCATTAAAGTTTCCATCACGAGTGCTATGATACTCTTTACACTCATTGAGCACATACCAAAAACAATCTTGTAAGCCTTTCTTTTTAAAAAAAATAAAATAAAATTGAGTAGTAGGTTTTTTGTGATTAGGTTTTATTTCATTTGCTTTCCCAACAAAAAATTGATTGATGATGATCTAATTTGCAACAATAATTCTTACCCTAAAAATTAAACAATAATATTTCATTTTCCTCCAAAAATCTTGCTTTATTATGATGGCTTTTAAAATATTTAATTAAAAAAAAAAAGACAGTTCAACTTCTTAGACTTTTTTTTTTTTTTAAATCAAGAAATTTCTTGAGTTTAGGAAAAAAAGTCTTGGACCAACTTATTAAAAATAGAAGGAATTAAAGAAAAAAAAATTCAAAGGATGTGATTTGTCCAACGGTAGAATGGGTCCCCAACTAAGCACGCATCAAAGGTGGGTCATATTATACTTGGCTTAACAATCATTAAAAACATAATTTATTAGTTTATCAACAAAGGACACGAGATTATTTATCAAAATAATCCCGATCCTAATCATAAACAATGTGTGGCATTGCTTTCAGTTTATATTTAAAATTTAAAATTTAAAATTTAATTTTTGGTATAAAATTAAAAATAAATAAATTTAAAGATATAATTATATATACAGAATGTAAAAATTAATTAATTTTATTATAGATATTATATTTTAATAATTAAATTATATAAATATCAAAAGATATATAGAATAAAAGGTGCATTAATTTTTTTTTTTTTTTTAAAAATGGGTGACATTATTCGGAGACTACAACTTGGAAGATTAGCACATTAATAAATAAGGAAAATGCTATTGGGACAATCATTTTATCTTATTTTTTTGTACAACCTGATGTGTCATTAAAATGATTGGTTCTTTTAATTCATCTAAGACCTATGATATTAAATGTATCAATTTATTTAATGATATATGAAAATCATACAAAAAAGTAGAATAAAAATATTGTCCCTATAGTACCACCCAATAAATAAATAGAATCAGTGTAATACGCAAGACTTTGCCAAATTGATACTATCCACATGGCATAAACCGTAGCCAGTTTCTAACCATCCAATTAACTTGTTAGGCTACCAATCGGATTGGTTGTGATGTTGGGTTTGGAACCGTCCAAAGGATGCAGTACATACACTATTTTGGTTTTTAATTAGGAAAAAGATAAAGTAGATTAATTAATTAAGCCAATAAAGTAAATGTTTGTTTGCAGTTCCAAAAAATAAAAAATAAAAAATAAAGTAGATGTTTGTTAGGCTTCTCCCAAATGGATGGGGACAAAGTGGCGACCTCTTATGTATTGACCCCTTAATTTGTCACCTTTCTCTTCTATTTTATTTTTGTAATTCATTGAAGAATACTCCTTGAGATAAGCCTATTTAATCTCATCATTTTGTCACTACCATCTGAATTCTTAACATTAGGAGAAACCCCCACGATTCCTTTGTATTTTAAATGAAAATATATATCATCTAATAATGCAAATTTCACAGTTATTCTTAAATAAAATAAATTACTTTGCTGATAAAAAAAAAAATTCACAGTTATTCTTCATCTTAAATAATATTAAAACATTGATACATACACTCTCCACTTCAATATAATTCATAACACATTTATTTAAAAATTGTTACTTTTAAATTTGAATTAAAAGTAAAAAAACTTAAAATTTAAAATTTTAATTATTGAACTAGTAAGTGTTGATTGGTATGTCAAATCAAAAAGTGTATCAATAATTTTAATTTTCATAAGATTAATGTATAATGTCAAATATCATAGATTGATCCTTTTGATAGAGGCAAGAAGTTTAAGTCATGACATTCGTATAATGCGAACAGCCGTTTAATTAGAATTAGCTTTTTATATTTTTTTGGTATTTAAGTTCAAGTTGTTTTTGGTTTAGTTTTTGCCCAATGTGGTTAATTTTTCTCTAGACGATCTTAAAGATGCACCTCACACTAGATTAATATATTTAAAGAAATTAATTTTCTCATATGATACCTCAAAATTTAAATTTTAGACTTGACTTATAAAATAATACTTGTTTTATCAATGAATCTAATCTTTGAGATTATTAGAATTAGCTTGTATTCCTAATGACTGATGTCCCAATTAATCTACATATGAATTATTTTTAGTATATCTAATGATGGGCCATACGAAAAGAAATAACCCTCCATTTTTTTCAAATTTCTTTGGTAAATAATTGATATACTTTCTAATTTAACACACTTATTAATATTCAGTATTTTAGTCATTAAATTCTATAATTAAAATTTTTGCTGCCTTGAATTTCAAATTTAAAAATAATAATTTCTTAATGAGTATACTGTGAAGTGTGTTGAATTAAAAAATGTATTAATTATTGTTCAATTTCTCCCCACATTTTAAACTTAAAATCTTAACTTGGTTATGTAGAAAGACCAAGCATAAAGCTTTGTACAACATACTTCTCAAGTTAGCATGGTGTGCATCAATCTACTATATTTGGACTAAGCGTAATAACAGAATTCATAGGTAAGTTTTCACATTTCTATCTACACTTATGGATAAAATTCAAACAGATGTTTGGGATAGAGTTCTTGGCTTTGCTAAGGAAAAGACATCTCCCTTGTCAAAGGAGATTGCCACAAATTGGGGGCTGGGTGTTCTTTGTATATGAGTTTTGTTAGAATTGTAGTCTTTCATTGTATTGTTTCGTTCTTTTTGTACAAAGTATTGGTAGTAACCTAAAATAAAGCGTTGTTTTAGTGTATTGTGTTGATTTGGTAATAAATTCACATTTCATAAAAAAAAAAAAAGAAGCTTAAAATCTTATACTTTTAGCTAGTTAAACCACCTCTTTAAGGAATTAATTTACACATGATAATTCTTAGAGAACTAATGCAACACAAAATCTTAAATCATACCCAAATTTTATCGTAATCATCATAACATCTATTAAAAGTTTGTTACTACTTACCTATTCATACGAATTAAATAAAAATAGTCTATCATAATAATTACTATTATATATTAAGTTTGTTTAATTTGTGCCTTAAGGATATATGTTAAAATGCAATAAATATACATTTTTATAATTAATTTACCCAAAAAATAATAAAAATTAACTTTTATTTTAGTAATTTTAGTGTTATTGCCATGTGGACAGTTAATTACTAATTAATTAAGTTTAAATTAATTTTTCATCATTTTTTGTATACATTAATTATAAAAAAATGTATTTATTGTATCCTTATAAAACACATAATAAAAAATTCCCTATGTATTAGGTAAGAATCTTTTCTAAAATCAGATTGTGAGTCATAATTACTGCCAAGCGTGACTCTTAGAAAATTCCAATTTCCTCCTATTGCCCAAAGGTTGGGTGTGTGCCTGTGTGGTCTCTTGACTTTGTCTATTAAGAACCTGGGAAGGACATGCCTAATTGGTATTATATGACACTATGCAAACCGTTCATGATTGTGCCAAACTGCATTGGACCTCTTCAACGGAGAGTGGGACAAACAGTATCATTTACTATTATTTCCCATCCGTGTCATTTGTCAACCACCTCTAACCCGCTCATCCTATGATCAACATGAAATCATAAAAAAAAAAAAAAAAAAATTACACCCAATGGTACCAAGAGATCACCATCTTTAGAAAGATTCTTTTTATATCACGATTGTATATCTAGAATAATTATATGACGATCGACGAGTTAATTAATAATTAAGGTCTTGACACATAAACAAATAGCAATTACATTAATTGGTTTTTATTGTCAAGACTTGTGATGATTGAAAGGTAGTAAATACATATTTTGGGCTAGTTTTTATTAAATTAAGTTTACATCTTCAATCTAGTCAATACAAGTCAATACAAGGTGTTTATATGCCAAACGGTTAAAATAATTTAATGATAATTTTTTTTACAAAAAAAAAAGTAAAATGTTTCAGGTTTAAATTGCATGATATGTAAGTAAGATGTGTTAAGGGTGAGAAAGAGTTACTTTTTATTGTACAATTCAAAATCTAAAATTAATATATATATATATATATATTTATGCCAAAACTAAAAGGTTAATAAAGAACTACCCCTAACACAGTAGAAGACTTGATAAATTACTGTATTTGTTACTAATCAAATTTTCATTACAAAAATGTGTTTTTTAGTTCAAATTATATTAAAAAGTGTACTCCAAGTTATGAAATTACAATTTTACATTTGATGAATTTTATCTTCTCATTTATTTCTTCTATTTAAATTTAGTAATTTTGTTTTTATTTTTTATTTTTTGGATATAAATTTTAAATAAAAATTTAATATATTATATAAATGATAATTAAATTTGTTTTAATCCAATAAAAATATTTAATAAGAATGACATATAAAAAATTTCAATACTTGTTCAGTTATTAAATTTTTATTTAAAAAATTACAAAATTACACTAAATTATTAAATTTAATCAAAAAGAGTATTCATTAATAACATTTTGATAATTTGAATTCGATCGCATATTTTGTGTACAATCCACACTGAAGGAGAGATTCTCCACTTATTATTACTAGTGGCTCAATGGTAATCTTTTTCTATTAAAAATAAAAGATTTTAATTTTAAATCGTATGACATACAGGTAAAATATAATAAAGGGAGTTGTGTAACCAACGTAAAAAAAAAAATACATTAATTAAACCGGGGAAGAAAACAATGGACCCCCCTATGTGAACAGAACCCCATTAATCCTTTATATAAATGGCCTGCTAAAATAAAATCATCATCATCATCTCCACACAACCCTCCGAAGTCTCCCCTTTACATTGTCCACCTTCAAAACACTCATCATCACCATTGTCGGCCATTATTTCCTTTCTCTCAAACTCAAAAAACCTCATCTCTTCTCCTTTCTCCTTCTCCCCCATCTTCCCCCAAACCCCAAAAAACCCTTTTCATTTTCACTTCCTCTCTGATTCCCCTTTGTACCATGAAACACCATCAAGAACTGACCACCACTACCGCTACCCTCCCAAGATCCACCAGCTACAAAAGCTCCAGAAAAATCATTCCCTCCAACGTCTACACTCGTTCAACCTCTATTCCCATCACGACAGCCGAAGAAATCTCCGATAAACTCCTCCTCCGGAGAGATTCTCCAGTCACTACTACAAGTAGTTCTCAGCTTCAACGCCTCCATAGAGTCTCTGTCTCATCCAGATTTTCATGTCTTCTAAAATCCTTACTCAGGTTCGTAACTTTTCCGAATATAATCCCGGCCGCATCGTGTACATGGCTCGCGATTCCAACGCATATGTCTATCACCCCGTCCCTGGGAAGGAAAGTGACCGGGACCTTGTTTGGAAACCGGAGAGGACACGTTAATTTTGCCGTCCAGGATGATCCCCGGTCTGAACCCGTGTTGCTGCTTGAGCTTGCCATGTCAACGGCGGCACTGGTTAAGGAAATGTCGTCGGGGCTGGTCCGGATTGCGCTGGAGTGCGAGAAGGGGAGGAACGTGCGGCTGTTCCAGGAGCCGAGATGGAGTATGTACTGTAACGGGAGGAAAAGCGGGTATGCGGTGACTCGCGCGTGCACCGAGTGGGACTGGCACGTGCTGAGTACGGTTCAGACGGTGTCGGTGGGGGCGGGGGTTATTCCGGTGGTGGAAGATAGGCGGAAAAGCGGCGGGTCGGAGGGCGAGTTGTTGTACATGAGGGCTAGGTTTGAGCGAGTGGTTGGTAGCCGTGACTCGGAAGCGTTTTACATGATGAACCCGGACAAAAATGGAGGTCCTGAGCTCAGTATTTTTCTTCTTAGGTTATGATGCAGATTATATTGATTTTATAAGAATAATGGGAAAATATAGGAAAGATGTTATTATTTTGTGTTGTGCAGTTTAATTTGCACAACAAAAACTTTTAAATGGAAAAGACCTCTTCCTCCATTTAAGAGTCTTTGTTTTGCAGTATAATATAATATGAACTGCAAAATAGTAAACTTTTTAAAAATATAATAGTTTGAAAATGCTTTGTTTTAATTATGTTCCAAAAAAAACTATGTATTTTCGATCCCTTCATTCGTGTGGAACTACACATGCCTTAGTTTCTTGTTCTCTTGCTTTGTAGTTTGTATATGGAGTTTCTAAAAGGAAGTGAACAACTTAGGTAACATTTTGCAATTGATTAAAGATACTCACTCTGGATGTGAAATGTCGTGGATATGACTTTTTTACATATTAATTTAAGTGATGTCTTTTTGTGCCATTTGATTGGTGCTTGAAGAAAATTTCTTTTTACATGCATATTAAATTTACACGTAACAGATCAAAGTTACCCTTATAGAATTTCAGGGTGAAAAACCCGAAATTAAAGAGGGTGCTAGGAAGTCTCGATGATTTTCATTCCTTCCATTTGAGTTGTAATATGACGATAATCCACTTAATTTGCATTTTTTAGTTCAACATAAATTAATTTGTTTGGTATTAGACGAAGTTGACTTAAATCTTTAATTTTAATTTTAAATAAAAAATTTAAATTAATAAATATTAATTCAATCTCATTTTTATGGACAATAATATGTTCGAGTTAGGTGTTAGAGAAAGATAGAGGCATAATTAATCTTTGACATGTGGGTGCTGATCGCGCATGCATGCTTGCGCATGCACAATCTTTTGTCATACAGGATGTGTAGTTGTGGAAGGTTCTTTATTGACTAACATAGTTGTTGGTTTTGTGTGTTTGGTTGCTGTCTTCGAGGGAAGCTCCTGTTCCCGAAAAGTGTGTGCGCCTGCCCCGAATCATGGTATTATGGTAAGATTCAAAACATTCACTAAAAGACTAGTGATCAACAATAGAATTTTCAGTCACTAATTTATAAAAAAAATATTTTATAATCCAATGTAACACTAATTATGAGAGTCTTTGATAATTAAAAAAGGTTAAGTTTTTTAAAATGTTAATATTTTATAATCAAACCAATTCAACTATTA